TAGTGATGCTAAGTCCACACTCATCTGGATCATCTGGAATACAAAAAGCTCTATGTCTCTCTTCCTTTTGTTATAGCATTGCCTCTAATTATGCAATTCCTTCTTTTTCATATCAACTAGTATTCAGCTTTACAACATATGTCAGTAATACACAATCCTTCAAATTCTGCCTTCTGATGGAATATAAAATGCTGCAACAGTTGAAGTACTGGTACAATGCCAACAGGGATGTTCTCATTTCAAAGTGTAGGCTGCCATCTACTGACTGTGATCCCCTCCCACTCCACATTCAGCTCTCTTCAGAAAGTGAACTGATCTGGCACAAGAGGTTTTCTTTGCTTCATCATTTAAGGCAGTGTGACTTGATTGTTATAATGAACCATATCAACATAATCCTTTAGTTATTTTAAATACAAATTATCCTTAAAAAATGCTAAGCAGACAGTTATGCTTCTGTATAGCTAAAAATTCCTGGTCTATACTCAAAAGGGTATACAATTTTTTTAAGTATGTGACATTTTTTTAAATATGCAAGAAAAATGCATTTTAATATCCTTCTCTTCACCCTTTCCTTTATTCTTTACTCCTGAAAGCAGAAGCTCACTTATTCTCATTAGTGTGTATTTGTGATTTAATTTTTCTTCTTGATCAACCTCCTCAACCTGAAATTACTAAAATGTAACTTGACTGCCCTAAAAAAATTGTTAAAATTCACAGCAGCTGTTTACAATAAAGCTAAAAGAGTTACTTAGCCATTAGTTAGCTCAGGCTCCTGCCATGATAGGAAACATAAATTCGCAGGTGTCCTCTAAGAGCCCTGGACTTATAAGTAAGAGTGAGTTTCTCCCTGTTTTAACCTATTTTTTAAGGAAAATAAAATCAGACCAACCCAAATAATTAATGTTAGGGAGGGAAACCCTCCCTCTCTGCCTCTCAGGAAGCTGAGACAATAGAGAGCAAAGGGTAAATTCACTGTCTTATGAGAGCAAAGGGTAAATTGACTCAACAGCCTGCATTTCATAAATACTGCCTGACACATTAGGTCCTAGGAACACATTATGTGAAATAGTTTAAAGATCTGCTGCCTTTGACAACTGTCTGGTGTGAAAATAGGGTGGGGAAAAAAATACAGTACAACTTTCAAGACTTAAAAAATGCAGTGTGAATAGTGACAAAGAACTGCGTGGGTCTGCTTGGAGGGTCTGGAAGAATTTCACAGAGGAACTTTCTGAAGGAGAAACTTGAGTCTACCAGGTAATCAGACAGGGGAGAGACTCAGCACGTGCGAAGTAAGAGAGATGAAAAAACAACAGAGACTTAAGAGAAAAATCCAGTAACTCAACATTAGTTTTAATAAAAATAAAAATAAGCTCAAGTTCCTGGGTCTGCAGAGTAAAAAATAAAAAACAGATAAAATAGGACCTGAGCGCAAGAGCTGAAATGGAGTGCAGGAGCTGAAAGAGTCTTTGCAGATGGCCGATTCCTTCCAAGATCTCTTTCCTGATGCCCATCTGTGGATCCCAGAGCCTGACAAGTAGACATAGGACAGTACTGCCTTTAAAGGGACAGTACTGCTTTTAAAGGGACAGCATTAGGAACCTTGGAAGCACAGCCAACATTTATGACATTGAAGAAGCCACTAACCAACGCCTAGATGTGAACCTTCATGAGAATAAGAGGTCTGTACAAGTGACAGAAAGTGACCTCACAAGTGAATCTGAGTTTCTAGTCACTATTGGAGCCACTGTATTTACCGGCTTTGAACAAACAGCTGCAGATGAAGTGAGAGAGAAACTTGGGTCACCATACAAAATCAGCAGAGACCGCGGCAAGATATATTTTGTCATTTCACTGGAAAGTCTGGCACAGGTTCATTGTCTGAGATCAGTTGATAACTTATTTGTGGTGGTTCAGGAGTTCCAAGATTCCCAGTTCAAAAAAACAAAGGAAGAAGTTCTGAAGGATTTTGAAGACTTGGCTGGAAAACTTCCATGGTCAAACCCCTTAAAAATGTGGAAAATTCATGACAGTTTTAAAAACGAAAATAAAAGCAGATGAGGTCAGGTAGCTACCTAGGTAGATCTCAAAGTCTTTTGTATGTCCTGCTAAGAAATATGCATGTTAAAATGACCACACTGGCAACAAGAGAGGGAATGGATTGGAGGGAGAATGAGACTAAAGAAGTGGTGATTGCTAAGAAAAGAAATGAAATTTTGCAAGCAGAGAAAAATTAAAGATCTGAAGTACTAGGGCAGTAAGAATGGAAAGAAGGGGCCAGATTAGATACAAGTGTACAACTTCACTGGTTGTGGAGAACTAGAAAGAAGGAAGACACTCAGAATTTCCCCAGTGTCTGGTTGAGGTAACTAAAGGAATGGTGACATAGTCACCAAAACAGGAAATGCACTCAGAGGCATGTATTTGCTGGGTGGGTATAACAACCCTAGGTATGGAAATGCTGAGTTTGAATTGACTATGGGACACTGAGGTGAAGATGTGCAGCAGAAACTGAATACACAGATCTGACACTCAGAAGTCTGAACTAGAGACAGAAATTCAGGAGTCACCAGTGGGTGAGTAGCAGATGGCATGGATAAAATGCACCAAACAGAAGAGGTAAGAAGAGTGTCATGGAGGAGGACCTGGGTGGAGAGTCAACAGAGGACTCACCATCCTATACAAGCACATGGCATGCTACCACACTGAGTCAGGCAAGATGGAATCGTGAAGTCTAAACATTGTTCCATAGCATAGCTACACCGGATACAAAAAAGACTCAGCTGGCCGGGCGCGGTGGCTCAAGCCTGTAATCCCAGCACTTTGGGAGGCCGAGGCGGGTGAATCACGAGGTCAAGAGATCGAGACCATCCTGGTCAACATGGTGAAACCCCGTTTCTACTAAAAATACAAAAAATTAGCTGGGCATGGTGGCGCGTGCCTGTAATCCCAGCTACTCAGGAGGCTGAGACAGGAGAATTGCCTGAACCCAGGAGGCAGAGGTTGCGGTGAGCCGAGATCGCGCCATTGTACTCCAGCCTGGGTAACAAGAGTGAAACTCCGTCTCAAAAAAAAAACAAAAAAGACTCAGTTACAGACGTATAATTCTGTTTGAAATGTCAGCTAATATATACAAACATATTCAAATGTAGTCTAGAAGTATATATTCCAAGATATGTACAGTGGTTATCTCCAAGTTATCTCTGAAAATATGAGCAATTTTTATTTTCTTTATGCTTTTCCATATTCTCCAAGTTGTCTACAATGTATATGCATGCATTACTTTTGAATCAAATGTGTAAAGATTTATTTATTTTTTTTTTTTTTTTGAGACGAAGTTTTGCTCTTGTTACCCAGGCTGGAGTGCAATGGCGCGATCTCGGCTCACCGCAACCTCCACCTCCCGGGTTCAAGCAATTCTCCTGCCTCAGCCTCCTGAGTAGCTGGGATTACAGGCACACGCCACCATGCCCAGCTAATTTTTTGTATTTTTAGTAGAGGCGGGGTTTCACCGTGTTGACCAGGATGGTCTCGATCTCCTGACCTCATGATCCACCCGCCTCAGCCTCCCAAAGTGCTGGGATTACAGGCATGAGCCACCGCGCCCGGCCATGTGTAAAGATTTTTAACTGTTTTTTAAAGATCTAAAAGTTTGTAACAGGAGTCTAAATGATCAGGAAAAATTATCTTTTGCCCAACTACCTCAAGCTCTAAGCAGGTATCAGAAGTAGAAGAAAGCAGAGGGACTGGACCCAGAAACTCAACCTGCTATAAATGGAAGACACAAGACTATGCTGGAAGTTCCCAATAAATGACATGGAACATGTATGGGGTTCTTGTACTTAAGTACAGCATAACCTCATAAACAGCAGAAGAGAAAGAGAGACAATTTTTAAAGAAATCTTAAAGACCCTCACTCCTCTCGCCCTGTATGAACACACAAGCAACATAGAGCAATGGCAAAGGAAAGGAGAGAGGGAGATGTCAGCTCCTCCCAGCCCTCACCAGCACTGCTCTGCTGAATTCTAAATCAGATAAGACTAAGAGAAAAAATAAAGTGTCAAAAGCACCTCAAAGGCATCCCTTACAGTAAGAGGTCAAAACACACCCCTTACACAGCAAGTCGGAAGAGTGGAAATCCAAAGATGGGCCAAAATGCACTCTGATGATTTTAACTGAGTCAAATGAAGTTAATAAAAGCAATAGAGAGAAATCAATCACATGCCAATTAAAAGAAATCAGCTGGGATAAAATAGATAAGAAGGATAATGTAATGGTTCATTGTATGTCAACATGACCGGGCTATGGCACCCAGTTATTAATATTTGGTCAAACACAGATGTGGAAACTGCTGTTAAGGTATTTTTTAGATGTTATTAGCCTTTAAATCAGTAAGTTTTGAATAAAGCAGATTACCTTATATAATGTGGGTAGGCCTCATGCAATCAATTTACGGCCTTAAAAGAGTTCAGTTTCCCAAGCAAAAAGAAATTCAGCCTCAAGACTAAAACAGAAACCCTGCCTAAGTTTCAAACCAGCCAGGCTGCCCTATGGACTTGACAGCCCCACAATCACATGAGCCAGTTCTTTAAAAAGTAAACCACTCTCCCTCGGTCTCTTTTCTTGAAAAGGTAAAATTTGCTAATAGACAACCAAGAGGCAGAATCTTGAACTAGAAGTAATGGGATTGCAATTGGCTGAGGCAGGCAGCAGTAAAACACCAAAGGTTCTTTAACAGAAGAATGAAACAATAAACAGTACATTTAATGATGATTATTTTGGAATCAATTACACTATATTTGTAATATGAACTAGATCAGAGGGATACTAGAAGACATTTGAGGAAATCTAAGCCAAAGGATTCTGCAAGTGGCACTGGAAATGAAAAGGAATTCATTCATATAATGAGAATATAACAAAAAATTTAGTAGGTATATTTTGTATTTTTAAGATCTTTTAGTAAAATTTCTATCAGAATACTATTCAGATAGATATTTACTTACCATATTTGTCTCGCAAGCCAACAGTGCATCTAAAGACTCCACCAAAGGCAACATCTTCACCAAATATTACTGAAAAACATTATTTAAATAATATATTTTATTTAATAATCCCTAAATAATGCTAACAATGAGAAATAAGTAATTTAAATGTTTACATTTTAAATCATGAAAGAGAAAAGAACCGTAGATACAGATCGAGGTTTCTCAACTTCTACATTATTGACATTTCAGACTAGACGATTCTTTTGTTGTGAGGGCCTGTCCTATGCACTGTAGATATATAGCAGCCTCCCTGGTCTCTACCCACTGGATGACAGTTAACACACACACACACACACACACACACACACACACACACAGTTGAGACAACCAAAAGTGCCTTTGCTTACATTGTTAAACATAGACAGTTGTGGGAGTAGGGACTAAGATCACCCCAGTTGAGAAGGAACCACTAATCTAGAATCTTATTTGTTTTATCCATGAAGAAAATGAGACCACAGAAATAGTAAAGTGACTGACCAACTCAGAAAGCTAGAGGCAGAACTGATGCTCCAGACTTCCAGGCCAGTGGTTTTTCCTGAGACATAGTATATAGTAAGGCAGCCATCAGAACATTCTAAGCTGAGGGAACAGTCACAAACAGGAAAGGGATTTAGTGTGTGAAGCAGAAAGGAGGCAAGCATGATGGAACACAGTGAGCAAGGCAAAGAATGGTGTGAGTGGAAACTGGCATGAGTTTTAAAATAGAGAGTATTCACAGAGCTGAATGCTAGTCTCAGAATGCACCTAACCAGCTTTTTGAACTTCAAGAAAAAACTCACCCTTCTCTATGTTTGAATTTACTCATCTAGTTCAATCATTCTCAGGTGGCATTCAGAACAAATCAAGATCTAATCATTCTTCAGTCCAGCTCTCACTTCTCCCTAAAAAATAACCTGTTTTTCATTTAACCTTAAAACTACAGATTCTCAAGTGAAAGCCCAATGTGTAGTAAACGTACATACACACATTTATATACTGTATATACAGAAATAGATACATGTTAAATATATGTATATGTACACACACATATATATTTATACAATGTATGTATATATGTGTACATATATTTATACAATATATGTGTGTACATATACATATACTTACTTCAAATAAAAGTAAAGCCAATCAAATTTAGAAAACATACAGTGGAAGAACAATTGGTTTTCTATCAATAATGTAATATGGTGATTAAGTTACTTATAAAATTATACATAAATATTATAATTTTTTCCAAAATAAAATTTGAATGACAATGTATCCCAAAGGGAAGCATAAAATCAAGTCTTCATTTTAGAAATAAATGGCTGAATCAAAAGTTATTTTGTTTTTTCTATCTGCCAGAGAACCAGGAGTACATAGTAGGTTTTAATCCAGAAGTTACGAATATAGTATCAGGACACACATACTGTAAGAGGAAGCTGATTTGGTGTTAGATATATATGAGAACTAACTGTAATAATGGACTAATGTTGCAATTTGATTATTTAGCCCTAATCATTTGTGCAGGACTTTGAAAATTTCAAGTAGATTCAATGTTAACCATTGAGCTCCACAAAAATATTTCAAACAAATCTTCAGTTCTGGAATTAACACAGCTACAACAATTCAAGCACAAATCAGGGTTACCTGCAGTAGGATCTTTGGCCAGTGAGTTATCCAAGGCACTTGTTATTGACTGGAAAAGATTCATTTTCTGAGTTTGTCCTGTAAAAATAAAAAATAAAAAATGCATACATTGTAAAATATGTAAAAACAACCAGTTTCTTAACAGTTGATTACAACTTGACTAAAATCAACATACAAAGAAAGGCATTATGCAAATTGCTGAATTATTATAAGATAGAAAAGCAATACAGACCTGGAGAAGCTTGTTAATGGGGCAAAATTTACTTACATTAAATAATTTTTTGTAATAATATAAAAAAGGAAGAAAGAATATAACCAAGTGACTTAATGTGTATAGACAGTAAGACCTATGGAAAGTCAAAAAAGAGGACCAGTCAAAGTGAGTGGTCTGGGAAGACACCACAGACAGGTGTCAGAAATCAAGTCATAAGGAATACACATGACCAGTGGCTTGTGCTAAATATGTTTTCAAAAGCAAATCGTCACTGGACCATAAAACAATAAGGAAAGCTAAAGATAAACTTTAGTACCCAGAACTGCCGGAGTTTGGAAAATACCATATTCTTATGCCTAACCACATCATATTTAGTCCTTCTTATTATCTTATTATTTAAATAGATTATCTGCGAGCCAGTGCCCATCCCTTAAATGGATTTTTTTGAAGGAATAAATGAAGCACTAAATGTAATACACTCAGAACAGTACCTGATGCAGTGAGTGCTAAACAAATATTAGCTATTTATTTTTAGATTCTGGACTCTGTCCATGTCCTTCCGTCTTGATCTTGGTACTCTTCTGAATGGTATAGAAAAGCTTCATTTGATAAAGTTACAAATGTTGGAATTCAAAAACATCATTACACTGGAGCTTTGATTCAAGCCTAGGTGCCACCCAGTGCCCACAGTCATCACAGAACTTTAGGTCAACTCCTCTGCAAAAGTACAACTCAGAGCACAGAAAAGCTTCAGCCTAAATCTCCTCAAATCCAGAAGCCGACTCTTCACCCTAGTGCCTGATCTATACACTGGTGGTTGCCTTAACCCACAGCATGCTGATAACAAATCTTTTAAATACCTACTGCTTACCCTGATCACTGTCCCACCTAACCTCCATGCTATTCAGTAGCCTAGTATGTCCCAACAGTCAAGATGTAACTCTCAGTGTGGGTCATACTGCCTTCAGCTGTCTGACCATAGGACACTGGTCACTCGTCCTTTTCCTGGAGACCTATATTCTTCCCTAGCCAGGCATTGCTCCACAGCAGATTCTGAAATATGACATCTTTCTTCCTGTTATCCACCAATACCCCGGCCTTCTGATGTTCTACCTGCTCTGGCATCTAATGTCTCCCTGATCCTTTCAACAGTACTGGATGCCCAGGCTTCAGGTTTTGGCAATCCCCAGTCAGGTATGTCCTCTGTCCTCTGTGCCCACAATCAGAGCCTGTTTCTACTCTTCTATTTGGTGGAAACAATAGGAATTTATTCAAAAATTATTTTATATCACCTATGGCAAAAGATATATAATTATACCACAGGTCTAATTATACCACATGACTAAGGCTATGCCACTTAATAGATACAGGCATATCTTATCTTATTGTGCTTCACTTTATTTTGCTCCACAGATATTGCAATTTTTACAAATTGAAAGTTTGTAGCAACCCTGTATCAAGCAAGTCTATCAGCATCGTTTTTCTAACAGTATGTGCTCACTTTGTGCCTTCACATTTTGGTAATTACAAAATTTCGAACTTTTGCATTACTATTACATCTGTTATCATGATCTGTGATCAATAATCCTTGAGAATACTGGAATCATTACCTTGGGGTACCACAGCCTTCTGACATTCTGCCATGGCACCCCAAGACAATTACATTAGTAACCTCAATAAATGTTATATGTGTTCTCACTGATCCACTGACCAGTCATTCCCCTTTCTCTCTCCCTTTCCTCAGTCTATTCCTTGAGACATAATAATATAAAAATTAGGCCAATCAAGAATTCTACGGTGACCTCTAAGTTTTCAAGTAAAAGAAAGAGCTGCATATCTCACACTTTATAAGTTAAAAATGACTAAGCTTAGCACGGAAGGCATGATGAAAGTCCAGAGAATCTGAAAGCTAGGCTTCTTGCACCAAACAGCCTAGTTGTGAATGCAAAGGAAAAGTTATTGAAGAAAATTTAAAGTGTTACTTCAGTGAACACAGAAATGATAAGAAAGCAAAATAGCCTTATTGCTGATATGAAGAAAATTTTAGTGGTCTGGATAGAAAATCAAATCAGACACAATACTCCCTTAAACCAAAGCCTAATCTAGAGCAAGGCCCTAACTCTTCTCAATGCTATGAAAGCTGACAGAGGTGAGGAAGCTGCAGAAGAAAAATCTAAAGCTAGCAGAACTTGGTTCATGAGGTTTAAGAAAAGAAGCCACCACAGTACATAAAACTGCAAATTGAAGTATAAAGTGCTGATGGAGAAGCTGCAGCCACTTATCCAGATCTCACTAAGATCATTAATGAAGGTGGTTATACTAAACAACAGATTTTTAACAGAGACAAAACAGCTTTCTATTGGAAGATGCTATCTTAGGATTTTCACAGCTAAAGAGAAGAAGTCAATGTCTGGCTTCAAAGGACACGTGGACTCCCTTTGTGAGGGGCTCATGCAGCTGGTGATTTGAAGTTGAAGCCAATGTTCATTTACTATTCTGAAAATCCTAGCACCCTTGAGAATTATGCTAAATCCACTCTGCTTGCTCTCTTTCAATGAAAACAACAAAGCCTGAATGACAGCACATTTACATCAGGATTTCCTGAATATTTTAAGTTGACTATTGAAACCTACTGCTCAGAAAAAAAGATTCCTTTCAAAATATTACTGCTCATTGACAATGCATCTGGTCACCCAAGAGCTCTGACAGACATGTATAAGATTAACAACATTGACTTCATGCCTGCTAATCATCATTTCTGTGGCTCGCAGATCAAGGAGTAATTTCTACTTTCAACTCCTATTATTTAAGAAATACATTTTATAAAGCTATATTTGCCATGAATAATGACTCCTCTGATGGATCTGGGCAAAGTAAACTGAAAATCTTCTGGAAAGGACTAACTATTCTAGATGCTATTTAGAATGTTCATGACCCATGAAATGTCAAAATGTCAACACTGGCCAGGTGTGGTGGCTCATATTTATAATCCCAGAGCTTTGTGAAGACAAGTAGAATGGATCACTTGAGGCCAGGAGTTCGAAACCAGTCTAGCCAACATGGTGAAATCCCATCCTCTACCAAAAGTACAAAAAAATTATCTGGGTATGGTGGTGCACACCTGTAAACCCTGCTACTCAGGAGGCTAAGGCACAAGAATCATTTAAACCCAGGAGGTGGAGGTTACGGTGAGCCAAGATCACACCACTGCACTCTAGCCTGGGTGATAGATTGAGACTCTATCTCAAAAAACAGTAAAAAGGAAGTCAGCATTTATAGGAGTTTGAAATAAATTGATTCCAACTCTCATGGATGACTTTACTTATTTATTTTTATTTATTTTTTCAACCTCCACCTCCCAGATTCAACCAATTCTCATGCCGCAGCCACCCCAGGGATTACAAGCGTGCACTACCATGCTTGCTATTTATTTTATTTTATTTTATTTTTATTTTTAGTAGAGACCAGGTCTCACTATGTTGCCCAGGCTGGTCTCAAACTCCTGAGCTCGATGATCTGCCAGCCTTGGCCTCCCAAAGTGGTAGGATTACAGGCATGAGCCATTGTGCTCAGCCTCATGGATGACTTTGAAGAGTTCAAAACTTCAGAGGAGAATGTAACTGCAGACATGGTAGAAATAGCAAAAGAACTAGAAGTGCAGCCTGAAGATGTGACTTAATTGCTACAATCTCATGATAAAACTTTAATGGATGAGGAGTTGCTCTTTATGGATGCAACCTGAAGAATTCAAAGCAAGTGAATTCTTGAGATGGAATCTACTGCTTTCTATAAATCCAAAGAAAGTGGATTCTTGAGATGGAATCTATAGCTGATGAAGATGCCATGAACACTGTTGAAATGACAACAAAAGACTTAGAATATTACATAAACTTAGTTGATACAGAAGTGGCAGGGTTTGGGAGAACTGATTCCAATTCCGAAAAAAGTTCTACTGTGGTAAAATGCTATCAAACAGCATCACATCCTACAGAGAAATCTGTCATGAAAGGCAGAGTCTATCAATGCAGCAAACTTCATTGTTGTCTTTTTTTTTTTTTTTGAAAAGATGTTGTCACAGCTACCACAACCTTCAACAACCACTACCCTGATCAGTCAGTGGCTATCAACATCAAGGCAAGGCCCTCCACCAGCAAAACATTATGACTTGCCAAAGGTTCAGATGATTGTTAGCAATTTTTAGCAATAAAATATTTCTTAATTATGGTATGTACATTGATCTTTTAGACATAATGCTATTGCACACTTACTACAGTACAGTGTGAACAAAATGTTTATATGCACTGGGAAACCAAAAAATATTGTGTGACTCACTTTACTGTAATATTCACCAAATTGCAATATTCATTTTATTGCAGTGGTCTGAAATCAAACCCACAATATCTCCGAGTTATGTCTGTACTTTCCTTAAATCCTTCTCCATTTCATAAATATTCTTTAAGTATTTATTGGTGCCCAGCCTCAGAAGATAATTGTTTTGGGTAAACATTTTTCCCAATCATAGTGACATTCCCACTGACTCTCCTATTGCATACATTTCATAAAGTAAGATCTTTACTTGTCTATGAGGATTTCCATAGCTAGGAACCAAGTCAGAATAAAAATATCTAAATATCTAAGTTGCTATTTATTTCAAGTCTGCTGAACATTCAGATTAATACGGAATGACATGATATCTTATTGCACTGATGCTCAGCAAGTTATTAGTAGGAAGGAAGCAAAGACTTTAATAATAAAAATCATACAAAATAAACATGTAAATTATTGCTTGACAACCACAAAGAATCTACTCATCTTGTATAAAATAATTTACCAGTAAGTGTATTTAAAGGTAATTATTTCCATG